ATATATTGCGAATTCAGTAAATACGTAAGATTCAGCTTTGGACAAGACTCCTGAAGGGCCTTACCTTCACTCTCACACCATTCCAGAAATGCCAGGACTCGAGCATTTCCCTGGCACGACAGGTACTCTTCTATTAACAAGGGAGCAACTGATGACAAAGTTGCAATTGCATGCAGTTGTAAGTCTTCATACTGTGCGGCAGACCATTCCATTACTTTGTGTTTCTCCGGCTTTTTAACATAGGTAAGTAAAGCCAAAACAACTTTGCCATCAATTAATAGCTATAAGAAAGGGACAAAAGACACTTTGTTAGAAGCATAAATAACTGTATTTAGCTTAAGAAAATTAAAGAGGTCAAATTTGGTACTTTATTGATGGTCACTTCAAAACATTTCCATTCTAATATTACCAATATGGCAGGTACCAAAAACACAAAAACAACCCAAAACAAAATGGTAACAGTTACAGGTAACATTTTGTCTAGCTGGCTTACATATATAATTTAGCTCCTGCTTAGAATAAAACCATATAAGTAGAAAATCTGGAGCAAATAAACCCTTGGCATTTTTCCCCCTCCATCTTCTCAAAGAAACTCTTGGGGGTCCTGGAGAGCAGACCAAGGTCTTGTGCATCGTATGCAACACCTCTACCAATATACTACACCCTGGTCTTCAAAAGAGACCTCTCACAGGCTCAGTTGTGTACCATAAAAGACCACTTCACCTGAAGTAATGACCACAACTAATCTTTAACCACGTACAGAATAACTTATACAAACATTTTATCAGGGGAATGTCAGTGAGGTAAAAAACTGCTTACTTTATTTTGATTTTGATTTTTGCTCTTTTGGTACGGGGAGTCAAACTCAGGATCTTACATTTCCAAGGCAGGCGTGGCACCACTGAGCTACATCCCCACCCCATAAGCTATATTTCACTGTATGACTACTATTAAAATTTTTCTTGAATCTAGCATTTCAATAAAATAAAATAAGAATGCATAGCTATTATAGGTACTATAGCTGATTGATCGTAATTATAATTCACGAGTATAAAATATATGCTATATTATGGTTAATTTTCCTTTAATTTGGCATTGTCCTATAAACTATTCCAAAACAAGAATTATTAATTTTTCTAAATTCTCTAAGAGACCAGTCCACTAATCTCTCCCTTTAGTTTAACATGGGAAAGATGCAAGATTTAGAACTGAGAGAAAAGGAGTAACTCTTCATTCTAGCTAGCATCACTGTGAGAATTAAGCGGATGATAGTTATGAAGGACTCTGTGCAGTGCCAAGGACAGCACACGCTATCACCATGGTTACTGGAGCACAAACATATGCCTTACAAAAGGCTTCCACTGCTCACACAGTGCTTTACAAAGCTGATACCCTCTGTGTCATTTGACTCTGCTGTCTGTGAAATTCCAATCAGCTAAAATTAGCTCACAAAGTATAAGACAAATTGTGTTTATTTCCTTAAATCTGTCATCTTCAGTTATATAATCCTCTATGTAATAATAAACCATATTTTATGGAATGATTTTCTACTTGGCATTTTGGAAAATACATTTAGAATCTGTGCATTATATATTTTTGATACTACTGATAAAGTTATAACTCTACACAATTTCTTTTTCTAAGTATTTAAAATATATATCTTTCTCTTTCTATCTATCTATGTATCATCTATCTATCTATATACTGGGCTTTTTAGTTCCATAATAATGTCATGATGAGGTGTTTCCCCATATTGAACATGAGCTACAGGGAATTTAGAGACATTGAAAAACCTTTTCAAGGACATATTGCTGGAAAGCAACAGTACCAAAATTCTGCCTGACTAAAGCCTTAACCTCATTGTAGTATACCACATTTATACTATCAGTATTGATATTGGTAGAATGAATTCTCCTTCAGTTTAATGAAAATAAAAAGAACTTTAAAGAGTTTTAGGACTAAAAGAAAATTTTAATTAAGGCAGTGAGTAACTAAGCTAATAGAATTGTAATATATTTTTCTGTCACTTTAGAGTTTACAAAACCTTCATCGCTACCTCACAAGGGCCCTGTGAGCAAGGCAGATGTGTCCTGATCTTTCTGCTACAGAGAACTGAGCTGATGGAAGTGTAGGTCATTTACATAGTTAGTAGGTGCTAAATCAGAATGAAATTCAGTTCCAGTGTTCTTCAAATCTCATTATGCTGTTCTGTAGGAAACACAGTACTGAGTTAACCCATGAATAATCAAAACATTAAAGGTTTTAAGTTTGTGTATGGAAAACGTGGGTTCCAGCTGGTTGTGGTGACACATGCTTGTAATCCCAGTATTCCGGGCTGCTGAGGCAGGAGAATCAAAAGTTCAAGCTGAACCTTGGCAACTTAGTGACTTGACTCCTAACTCGTCTCACAACACAAAATAAAAAATGGCTGAGGACATGGCTCAGCATGAAGGCCCAGGGTTCAAACCCGAGTACCAGGAAGAAAAAAGAAAAAAGCTAGTTCATAAGGGGTTGAGATGAGTGACACAGGTTAACAACCCTTTCAGCATTACCATCATCCCTTGCCATTATTATCAGAGACAGAATGTTAGGTGGCATGGGCCTGTGTTCAGGAGCTTTAAATACTCATATATCAGCAAATCTCTTAGTTTCTGCTGTTTTTCTTTGGTTTGTGGGTTTAAGTGTATGTATTACATTGTTTATTAACAGCTAAAAAAGGAAATTAAAAATTTGTGTCTTTGTTTTTTGAGACAAGGTCTTGTTATATAGTTCAAGCTGGCCTTGAACTCCCTATATAGCCTAGCCTTATCTCAAACTCACAGCGATCCTCATGGTTCAGCCTCCCATGTGCTGGGATTACAGGTGTGAACCATTATGCCTGGTATAAATTTTTTAAAAAGCTGAAATTCAAGGCAAGAAGAGTTTCTTATTTTTTTATAGTAAAGGTAGGATTGATGAAATAGTCATGACTTTAAAAGGGTTATACTATAAAGTAAAATGATTTATATTTTATTTAGTTTATTCTTTACCTGTACAGTAGGCAGATCTTTACATAAGATCACAATTATATTGAATAGCAATTTCTTCAACTCAAAATCTTCATAGGAATTAGAAAGCTTAAGACCTTTTACCAAAGGGTTTTGACTTTTAACTATGAAGAAGAAACAAATAAAATAAAATTAGGTACAAGACACATTAAGACAATTACCAGAAGCTTAAAGTTTTGTTTTTTACCTTCATTAAAAGTTGTAAATAGGATCAAATCTCTGGTAAAGCCACATTCCTAATATAAACACACAAAACAAACAGAAAGATGAATTATTTAGGATGGAAGTTATGACAAAGATGCTTGTATTTATCTATATCACTTACTTCTTTTATCCAATTTATGTACTGTAATTCATTTAAATTTAATTGCTAATAATAGTGAGGAATGAAAAAAAGAAAAGCGCATAGACTTTTTAAAATTAATTTTAAATTTACTTCTGTAGGTTCTAAGAAGTATTTTACATTATTCCACAACTATTTTGCAGAATACAGTTTAAAATTTAGTAAGAACACAAAGGATATTAGGCCTATAGTTACTTCAGTAGTTCATTATCTTTATCTTAAATGATTTCATATGGGAGAGAAATACAGTTTCATTCAATAGTTTTCTTCCTTAAAAACTCCACCCTTCCCAAGTCCTCTCATTATATATGAAATACTTTGTTAAGAGATGACAAAATAGTTCTACTTAATAAGGAAAGCCCTGAAGAATGACCAAATTTGGAAACATTTCAGCTCAAGAACTTTTTCCTGACAGTTGTTATCTGTTGCAGGAATCTAAGAGACTGGAGAGACTCGCGGACTGAAACAGGAGGACTTTTATTTCGGGTTGAAGGTGTACACTCAACGGACTCCTGTCCAAAGGAAAAGTGTTGAACAAAGAGAAGAGCCATCTCTTAAACATTTTGTAGAAGGGGGTGGTTTTTCTAGTGAGTTTGCTGAAACAGTACAAAGGCAGACAGTTCTGTAACTTTGCCTTGAAAGAAGACAGTCTCTTATAATCATATAAGAATAGTGTGTCATAAACTTTGTTTGCAGAAGAGAGTTGTCAATTTTATCTGTACCTGAACATGGAGTTACAGTTACAGGGGAGAGGAGGTTGATGGGGACAGCAGCACTGCCCAAGGCTGGGAAGGACTTGTTTTTCATTGAGTCCTGCTTTATAATCTTGCGGGCCTTTGTACAGTAGGGAAAATGATTAAAACCAAACCCTTTTGAGATTATAACTTTCCTACTACTTTAGGATCGGGGAGTCTTCTTTAAAAGGTGAGGATGTTACTCTGTTGAGTTGTGTCAGAGCTGAATGTTTTCACGGACAGTAATGAGGACTTACTGACTAGCCAGCTCTTTCCAGGTAAAGATAAAGTTCCACCTACTCTGCAGACTTAAATGGGATGCTATGTAGGACTGTTCCCATTTGCTCAATATGAATTCCAGCACTCTGATGTTGGGACCACTCGATACTCACTGATAAGGGACTGAGGCACTGACAGCCATTCCTTGAAGTAACTTTAGAAAAGAGCATGGTTGATGGATGACTATTATTGCAGAGTTCTCTATTCTAGGATTTAAATCATTTCATTTTTTGTTTGTTTGCATTATAAAGTATGCAGAGGCTCGGCTTCTGGTATGGCTGAGTAGCTCCCAAAAGACAAATGTAGTCAACAACTGTAAACTCTGAACAACAACAGAAACAACAACACACCTCAAAGCAAAATCCCCCAAACAAAACCATCAGCCATCTAATGTCCAAGAGCAAGTAGATACTGAAGGGAAGTGAGAACTTTGAAAAAGGCAAATGGCACTATATAAATTCCCATTGTACCCTTTAAAAAAATGAGAGCAGGCACTATTTTGTAGCTGTGGGGACACTAAAACTTCAGGCAAAACTGAGGTCTTCATAGTCTAGAGAGTTAGGCAATGGAGACAACCATAGCCGCAGGACAGTAAAGGGTGAAGTCCCTTGCAGGAGAGAACCATGGAGGGGAACCCAAATTTCTGTGTACAAACTCTTCTCAAGACTCTGGCCGGTGCCCAAGCCACACAAGTGCAGAGAGTTCTCAGTAGGGCAAGAACAAAAGAACTGGAATCTGAAGTCTTTGCCACAGGGATGTCCAGACAAGTTAAATGCATATTAATAATAAAAAGAAAAAATATTCGAGAATAGTATATCAAAACCTACAGTAAAGATGCTCATATTGAATGAGAATTCCATAGTGAATGGAACTCCCTGTAGACAAACAGAAACTATGAAAAGGGACCAAAAGGAAATGGTAAAACTGAAAAGTGTATCTGAAATAAAAAATATACAGTATAGGATTAGCAACAATGAAGACAAGGGGAAAAAAGGAGTCAGTGATTTTAAATATATACATTAATATAATTAATAATAGAAAATGGTTAAAGACAGTAAGCAGAACCTTACAAACTTGAGGGACAATATCAAATTGTCAAGAAAACAAGTAATTTGAGTTTAGAATAGAGAGGAGAGAGAGTGGAGTTTGAAAAATATTTGAAGAAATAATGGCCAAAAATTCTGGCTACTTGGTTAATAACTTAAATGTACATATCCAAGAATTCCATGAAACCCAAATAAGATAAATATGAAGGAGATCACATCTTGGCACAATTGTTGGAAACCAAGGATAGAGCAAAATTCCCAGAAATAGCCAGAGCAAAAAATGATGTGTTGCACATCGGGAAACACAATTTGAAATACTAGACACTTCTCATCAGAAAAAATGGAGGCCAGAACACAGTGGGACATAATCTTTAAGTGTTAAAAAGGATTTTTAAACCTAGAATTTTATACTCAGTGAACATACACTTTAAGAATGAATGTGAATGAAAGACATTTTCAGACCAAAGAAAGCTCAGAGACTGTTAAGAGCAGCCAGCCTATTTGCTTCACAAGAAATGGTAAAGGGAACGCTCCCAGGGAAATAGAAATGGTGGCAGATGGAGCCTCATCTCATCAGAACAGGAAGGGAAGAAAAGTATCAGAAATGGTAGATCCGTGGGTGAATGAGGACACATGAGGAGGACCGGAACTTTCCAGAGGGATGTAGAGGACCGGCGCAGTGAAAGTATAACGGCGACCATCGTGACGATACAACGTAACTTGGAGATACAAGAAAATACATAAATGTTACAACATGATTTCGGACTTCCTGCTCCCATGCCCACCACTTCCACAATTGAATGCAATCTGACTCATACTTACAATCATTGGTGCTTCCAGGTTTTGAGCTATAATTGTTGTGATCACTAATATATCATTTCTAAGCTGGCGATCGTAATGACTAAAGCCTCTCATAAACAGATTTTTAAATACTTCCTTCAGAGTCCTAGAAAATAAAACCATATTTTATTTATGTATTTTTTAGACCGTATGTTATGGCCTGTGTTTAGATGTCTCCCGAAAGCCTCATGGGGATGAGGTGGGGCTTTCTTTTCCAAAGGTGGCAGGATCTGGAATGTATGATGCTGAGATTAAGGGCATGTGATTACTGAGCCACTACACCTGAGTGCCTGGTTTGGCACTGCCCCAATCCTGGGTAGCCTGGAAGCGATAAAAGGGGCAAAAAGACTTGTTAAGGTTCCTTGTTGCTCTTGCTGCCATGTGGGTGCTAAAAGCCGTTTTTCCAATTCAATGCCCCCCAGCTATGTGAGACTCTGCTTGGAGCCAGCTGATTATGGGCTGGAACTTCTACGAAGTAGAAGCCAAATAAATAAACCCCTTCCCCTGTAACTTAGGGTGATAGACTTAAATGTTGTGTCCTTCCAGAATCCATACAGTACATTAGGAGATGGGACCTGTGGAGGTGATTTGGTCACAAGCGTGGAGCCCTTGTAAACGGGATTAGTGCCCTTATAGCAGGGACCTGAGAGCACTTCTTCCATTGGAACAAACAGAAAGTCAACAGTCTTTGTCTTGGGAGAGGCCCCTCACTAGAACCTTGTGCTGTGCTCAGATGTAAGGTTCTAGTCTCCACAATGGGGAGAAATAAATTATTGTTGCTTATAAAGCACCCAGTCTGTGCTTCTTGTTCAGTGGCCCGAACTACAGAAATACTGAGTCCATCAACAAAATATTACTTTTTATGTAATACTATTCATTTTGAAGTATTTTAAATCTTTCCCACATTTTGCATTGTTTTTATTTTGCTATATATGTACCAGACAAGAACCCACTGATCCAATCTATACGAGGTTGCAAGAGTGACTGCTCTCAAAGATTTGACCATGTCCTGTTAAAACCATTAAAAGCCTTTTTAAAACCATTTAAGACCTTTTCATTTTTAGCATAAAGTCTTCCTCCTGAGGAAAGGAAGGTCTTTCATGTTATAGTCTCCCCTGATCCCCCTGACACTGTGAGCATCACCTCTTACATCCTACCCTGTTCTTCCCCCCTTACTATAATGAATTTTAAGTTTTTGACTTTGCTAAATTTTGTTTTGATTTTTTCCCCTCATTCCCCCCATCTAGGATGCTCTCTGCATGCAAAATTTTTGTTGCCAATTCTTATTTACTGTTCAGATACCAATCTAAGGATCATCAGGAAGTGCTTATTAATTCTTCAAGTTTGGGTCAGGTTGCTGCTACAGCAGACATTTATAACTTTGAGTCTTGGGACCAACTTGCACTTTTATGCTAACAGTATTCTTAACTCTACTTAAGCATTGACTCATCTCCAACTTTTGGCTTGGTGAAGCTGCCTTCATGTGTAATTCCCTCTGGAATTCCAGAGTTTAAATCACTCTTGAATTGGCACTGGCCAACATGAGACCATTCTGGACTACCAGGGAATCAATGTAAATGCGCTTCTTTGAGCTTTCAGGTAGCGAGCTTTGCTTCTGCTTTATTTGGGGCTGAGATCACGTGAGCCTTCACCTGTTAGGTCTCAGCACACGGAGCGTGGGAATGACGCCAGAACAGTAGAAGGCAGTGCAGAGAAGTAAAGAGGGACAGGGACTGGTATTTGCTGAGTCCCGAATGTAGCTATACATAAAACCAGTGTCATCTTTCATTTTGTAGCTACCTGACTATAGCTACAATGTAAATATTCTATACTGTTCAAGCTGGTTGGTGTTCTGGACATTTGTATAGAAAAAGATGTTGATTTACCTTTGTCTGAAGAATAGTCAGCACTTTGTGATAATTTCTTTCATAACATTTAGTACACTTGTCCTTTTCCTTTAGCTTAATGTAAATATCATGAAAATAGAGAGTAAGGCTGCATTGTGATTAGTTGTACTTTCACAGCAAATAATAGCATTTGATAATAATCGTAGCAAATAATAATCATTTGTTGAATAAATGAATAATAAACTTGCAGTCTTACTACATTTTATTGCTAACGCTTTTGTTTCAATCCAGGGTTTTTTGTGGCACTGAGGATTGAAACGAGGAGCTTTGTACTAAGTTATATCCCCTGTCCTTTTTTCTTTAGAGACAAGGTCTCACTAAATTGCCCAGGCTGAGCTCAACCTCTCAGTTTCCCTGCCTCAGCCTCCCGGAGTGCTGGGGCTACCTGCATGCACCACCATACCTGGTTTAAATGTATATAATAATTTTTATCATATCCACCCCCACTACCCTCCCTTCTGCTTTGCTTCCACTTAATCCCTTCCTTTTGTCTAACAATAGACTTCCTTCTACTTTCATGTCTTTTACAACAATTTCATATGTTAGGGAAATCATACAGCACTGGCTTTTCTGAGTCTGATTTTATTTCTTGCAGCATGATGATCTCCAGATATATTCATTTTCCTGCAAGTGACAAAATTTCATTATCCTTAATGGTTGAAATAAGTAAATGAATAAATTATATATATATCTTTATCACATTTTCTTCATTCGTTCATCACAGGTTGGTTCCATATCTGGGCTATTGTGAATACACATGGTCTGGATATCACTCTAGTGTGCTGACTTTGATTCCTTGAAGTATATAGGAGACAGGGCTGGAACAAATGGTGGTCCATTGTTAGTTTTCTGAGGAGCCTCCATCCTGATTTCCATAGTCACTGTACTAATTTATTTTCCCCCCAGCAGTGCAGATGAGTTTCCTTTTCTCTGAATCCTCAGGAGAATTTTGCATTCTTGATGACAACCATTTTGACTTGGGTGAAATGCAATCTCAGTGTGATTTTGATTTGCATTTTCCTAATGGCTAAAAATGTTAAATATTTTTTGATATAGTTGTTGAACACTTGTACTTTGTCTTTTGAGAAATGTTTGTTCAGTTCATTTGTCCATTTATTTATTGGGTTATTTGAATTTCTGGTCAGTGCCACTGCAGTCTTATTCAGGAAGTGTTTGGCTGTGTCTATGGCTTCACATATTGTCCCTATGTTTTAGCAGATGCAAAGTTTCAGGCTATCCATAGGTATTTGATCCATTTTAAATCGGTTTGTGGTCGGGTTTCAATCTTCTACAAGTGGATATTCAGTTTCTCAGCACCATTTGTTAAAGTGGTTGTTTTCTCCAACATGTATTTTTGGCTCCTTTGTTCAGAATCAAATGGCTATGATTGCATGGTTTGTTTCTGTGATCTCTGTGTTTCATTCACCTACATTTTTATTTTTATGCCAATAACATACTGTTTTTGATACTATGGATTTGTGGTATAATTTTAGATTGGGTATTGTGATGCCTCCATCTTTGTTCTTTTTGCCTAGGACTGTTTTGGCTGTTCTGGATCTTTTGTGTTTCTATAAGGATTTTGACATTTTTTTCTCAACTTGTTTGATGAATGTCACTGGAATATTGATAGGGATTGCACTGACTGTGTATATTGCTTTTGATAATTGGCCATTTTGATAATATTCATTCTACCAATCCATGAACATGGGAGGTATTTCCATCTTCTAGTGTCTTCTTCAATTTCTGTCTTCATTGTTCTGTTCTGAAATTTTCATTGTAGAGGTCTTTCACTTCCTGTTTAGATTGATCCCTAGGTATTTTTGAAGCTATTGTGAACAGAATTGTTTTCCTGCTTTATTTCTCAGCTAGTCTATTATTTGTGTATGGAAAACTATTTATTGTTGATTTTACATTCTGTTGTTGCTAATTTTTCTTGAAGTATCTGGAAGATAGTAAGTCCTGTACAAGAGATTTACTGAATGTCTAATTTTATTTTACATACATGCAAAGGCATAATTTAACCTTATCAGCCTATTTCAAGAGCCTTCTACATAGAAAAGCATGGCTTCTTCCTTCAGAGATCTAGTTATATGACAGCACACGTACGAAAATGTCCTGAAACATAGCCAGGGTATAAATCAAATATCTCATTGAATACAGATTCAAACAAAGATGTCAGTCATATCTCTGGCTACTTTTTTTAAGGTTAAAAGACATTCCTCCCAGTCACATATACTTACACTAAACATTCCAAGGTACTAAGCTGTTGTATGATTTCCTGTTTTGGAGACTTTTCCAATAAGTTCCAGAGTATTTCTGTTGAACGAAACAGAAGCTGTCCGGAGGGATCTGGGTCATTGAGGTGAGCACAGATTTTGCTGGCTGCTTGTGCTTTCACCATTAAAGTACAGTTACCTTCTAAAAAGAATTTTTAAACATTATTTGTTATATAGCCTTAATGTTAGATGGAAACAAAAGTAATCGACAATGAGGTGCTCAAATTTAATAATAGGATACAAACCAGAAGTTGAAAGATGCTGCAGAACTTTAAGTACCCAAAGTTTCTCAATGAGTTGATTTTCAAGCAAGGTAATTGACTGAACCATTGTTTTTGCCAATCCTCCGACCTCGGCCATTTTAGCCTTGTATGATGAACTAGCTTGTTGGTAACCTAGAACAATTAGCAAATCCAAATGGATATTTAACATAATGATGATTAAGACAAAGGAGTGATTGTTACTTAATGGTGAAACAACAAAAACTTTATAAAAAGCATATGGCATTTAAAAATTGGAAAGCATATATTTCTCTTCTCTTTAAAGGACCAGATAGTATCCATTTTGTTTTTTGTTTATGTTTGTTTTGTTTTGGTACCAGGGATCGAACTTGGGACTTTGCTCTTGCGAGGCAGGCAGAGGCACCATTGAGCTAAATCCCTGGCCCAGTATGCATTTTGTTTTATTATTTATTTATTTTTTGGTACCGGGGATTGAACTCAGGTCCTTGCGCTTGCAAGGCAGGCCACTGAACTGCTGAGCTAAATCCCCAGCCCTCAGTATGCATTTTAAACATATAAACTTTAAGATTTCTGTGTTCTTAACTAGAGTGTTGTATCATTATAGTATAACGAGAAGACAGCCATAAACTATCAAAATTAAGGCATATGACTGTGTTGCAATAACATTTTATTTGCAGTGCTGGGCTCCATAGTTTGCTGATTCCTCAGGTTGCTTTTGACTTTTTTTTTTTGTACTGGGGATAAAACTAAGGTCCTCATACTTGTGAAGCAGAGGGCGGAACCACTGAGCTAAATCCCCGGCCCTAATAAATGGAAAGTTATTCTTTGCCAGAGATTTTTTCTTGGGGTGGGGTACTGGAATGAATTCAGGGCCTTGTGCTTGCAAGGCAGGTGGCGGAACCACTGAGCTAAATCCCTGGCCCTGCTTTTGAAATAAGATCACAAATTTTGGAAGCACACTTCAACTTTTTTTTTTTTTTTGGTTTTATTTTTGAGACAGGGTCTCACTATGTAGTTGAGACTGACCTGAGCTTACTATGTAGCCCAGGCTGATCTCGAGCTCACAGTGATCCTCCTGTCTCAGCCTCCCGAGTGCTGGGATTACAGGCGTGTGCCACCACCCCGTTTCAACTTCTAAAATAGATAATATTTCTTATTTCTCAATAGATGTAATTTTCTGTAAAAGAAAATGAGATGTTTACAAATACTGAATGTTTTCACTATACGAGACAGTACTTTACTTCTTTGTTTTTCAAGGGATAACAATTACATGGTCAGCAGTCAAGAGCAAAAATGTAATGTTGCTCTGATAAATGCTCATGAATTAAATCATATTTTGTGACATTTGATTCTTGGGACGTCTTATAAGAAGTTTCTTCTGCTTTAGCTTCTGTTGCAGTTGGACAGGTACCTGTCTAAGCTCTGGGCAATATTTGCTTATCTGCAATAAGCCTCTTCTCCTTTGATGATCTCATTTATCTAATTCCTTGACAGCTTGGGTTTTGAGACTGATTAGATTCCTCTGTAATATTTGTTTTCCTATAATTTCACCATCTAGAGATAATAACATTAACATTTTAATATATTTCTTTTACTTTAATTTATTCCAAGAATCTTATGTAATACTGTGGCCCAATAAATTTTTGTTAAGCTTTTTCCTAAGCTATAAAATATTTCCTCAAATTGTGATTTTTATTTGTATAATAGTCCATCATATAGATGGGCAAAAATGTGCTTTACCCTTGTTATGTATTTTTTCTTCCGAGTATGTGTTCCTAGAGAAGGTTATGATAAGATGAAGGCTCATGGACTCGATTGCTATCTCTAGGGCTATATCTCTTCCAACTGCTCTATTGTGGAATTTCTAGCTGTGGTCTCAAATGTTCCTCCATGCCCATCATTTGAAATCGACTGTGTGAAACTATGGAGAGCACTCTTTATGACTCACAATCTTCAAAGCCTCATCGAATTAAGATTCATCTCACGTCTCTGCACCTCAGCAGTCCTATGATAACTTGAGCACCATTGGCTTCCTGACTTGAAAGGTGTCTGTATTCTGCCAAGCTTGTGGTCTTAATCCTGTCTTCTCATACTTTTTTTTTTTTTTTTTTTTTTTTTTTTTTT